TTTTTTAGGATTTCGAGACCCAGGCTGGCAATGGGAGAAAGCACAAGTAACCATGGAAACAGAGCTCAGAATATGCACTATTCCCAGCCCCGCGAGTGCCACGCCACCCACAGCTCTATTTTTAGGCCTTACTTTGGGCTTACAATATCTGTTACATCTAACAAGAGTTAAACTGAGTAATCAGCAAGCATGACTACAGAAATGTGACTCTGACACTATGCGTCTGATTAAAAGGGTAGCAGCATAGGAGCATATACAGTAGGGCTATGAGGCTCTCACTGCAGCCTTTTGACTGCTGTGTGGTTCATGGGAGCTCCCAAGGACACAAACCACATAAAATAAACATCATTTAGCTGATTATTACTTTTCAAATTGCTGGTATAAAGAGATTAAGAGCGTAAAATAGACAAGACAAATATGATTAATGAGATAAACTGCTTTCACGAGGATTACATCAGGCAGCAACAACAGCAAACATATAAAAACAAACCGTTGCGTGCACAGAGATGATTTCAGAGCTGAAGGAAGGAGCCTGGATGTTGAACGTATAGTCAACTTTGGCCTTTTCTCTGTACTTAAAGCAGGAAAGCCCTGCTTGGCAAGCGGCTCCTCACACTCATCAGCCTAATGGCGTACTGAAGTTACCGGCCAGACTTTTCCATGTGACAAATAATTTACGATAATAATAAGATTTCAGTAATACAGTCCTGTGAATGACGAATGCGCTCATGACTCCTTGTGGCATTGCACGCATTTCCTACCAGTATGCTTAATTGTCATAAGCGCCGCTTGTTGGCGATGATTGGAGTTTGATTACGATCACCTGTTATTTGACTACAGTCACCTGTTGTTTGCTGACAAAGATGGCCGCTGTGTTGATGTAGTGGCATGTTATGAATTCTGCAGCCGCCGCTGCTGATTCCAGGTCAGATTTGTCAGCTCTTGCAGTGATGGATGGTTGAGATCAGGAGGATTTTGGATATGTCTCAAGTAACTGGAAGCGCACTTGAAGATCTTAAACACGCACACACAAGAAAACACACATATGCATTCAGGCATATCCTCAGTGAGAGAGGTCTGTAATTAACCAATCGGGGCCTTTTGGTGGTTTAGAGATTGACCAATCAAATGAAGACCACCAGGAAGAAATGCATCTGTAAAAACACACATCCATGCACTCATGCTCTCTCACTGCACAGATACATCTATATCTTCTCTCTCACTGTCTCTCTCTCTCTCTCACACACACACACACACACACACTACAGCAGCACTCAATGCTTATACAATATGAACAAATGCTTGACGCCCCTACACACACACACACACACACACACACACACACACACACACAAACACACACACACACACATGCCTCCAGACACCACAAGCCGGGGCTGGTGGTCTGACGGAATGCCGGGTATCATCTGTGGTGACTCCATTTGTGTGTGTGTGTGTGTGTGTGTGTGTGTGTGTGTGTGTGTGTGTGTGTGTGTGTGTGTGAGCCCTTCCTCCCTCCCCTCAGTGCTCCATCTAATACCCTGTCATCATCAATAACCTCAGCACTGCTGACTCACCGGCTTTTACAACCATGGGGTTTGGGCCTTACTTACTGCCACAGACCCTTGTCTCCGTCTCTGTCTGTCTGTCAGCCCACTGCACACACGTCGGAGATGTGTGTGTGTGTGTGTGTATGTGTGTGTGCGCGTGTGCATGCATGCACGAAATCAGGAGATGCTTAACTTACACACGTATTCTTCAGCGTAGATGTGTCCACACAGGTATGGACGTGTCTTTCACTTGAATGAAAGTCACCACAGACCCTTTGCCACCCACCCACCCACTGATGCACCCCAGTCATTCCCAATAGGACCGCAATCCATCATAATAATTGACTCTCATCAGGAGACAGAGCCTCATCATAGGCTCTAAGCATGTCACCCCTCCCCCCGCCCTCTACCCCATCATCCCTGCCCTAATTGTCTCCAGGCCTTGATTTAATTCTCCTCACAGGCATGTGCTTTATCTCATATTCACATGAGGGTGTAAATGTATATAGAGCTTCCAAATATACCAGACAGTATTTATCATTGTGGGCTCATTGCAGCCCACTTTGTCAGAGGTCGGCGGTGATGAATGTGGAGACAGGCTGTGTCAGACAATAATGATGCTGAGCGTCTGACAGGGTAAAGGCCGCCACTGTCTTGACATTTTTATGGACAGTGTATGAATGCAGGCTGCTCTGACGTGTCAACGCTTCACATGTGGCGCTCTGATGGTGTTGATGGGAGACGTTTTCTAATTTTTCCCAGCATAACATGTCAGTCAAGGGTCTGTCTGTGGCCGCGAGGACTGTAAACTGACCTCAACTCAATTTTATGATGAAGTTTTGTGATTTGTTGATAAATGAAAGTAAAGATTTTATGAATGGTGCAAAGCAGTGATTTAGTCAACATTCAAGTTTTGCATAAAGTGAAGACAGGAGTCTCTGGCAGTTGCTCATTTGAGGACTGGCATTTTTCCCCGGGTGTAAGAAAAAAAACCCACATGGTCCGTATTTAACCTCCAACCGTGTTAGATGCTTCTATATTAACTCTGTATTCAAAAGGTTCCTATTTCTAGGAAGGGATTAATATAGTGGATATACAGTCGATTTAAAGCTGGGGATGGATTTTGAACAAACAGCAAAGGTTAGAAAAGTGAGTTTATCCAATCAGACACTTTCGTGACAGTGGGAGTTATAAAATAATAACCCCAGATTATATCATTTAAAACATGTTTCCTGATCACATTTGATTTAAACACAAAGGGACAAACATGAAGTCTTTCATTTAATGAGATTTGTGTGCAGAGGCTCCCAACTGAGAAGACTGTAGTTGTTTTTTTAATATCTGGCACTGACAGTGAGGAGCTGATAATGATAGTGTTACATGACTGCTGTGTATACACACTCAAAAATCGGGTTATTTCTTCTGAATTAAGCACTTTGCTGTAATTTACCTATTTATAATTTTGCTGAGGACCCCCTGGAATCCCCTTAAGGACCACCTGTAGGTCCCCGGACCCCACTTTGAGAACCGCTGATCTGACTGGCTGGCAGGGTCTGTTTCTAAAAGGTGCGCACCTAACTGGCTGGAGCCAGGGCGGCGTATTGCCTTTCACACGCTTCTAAAATACTCTCCGGGCAGAGCCTGAAAGGGTTACTGTTTCCCAAAGTGCCTCATTCTGCGCAGTCGAGAGGGGGCGGCTGAGTGGCGCCGTCGAGTCAGAGACGCAGTTTCTAAAAACCCCGAGACATCATCAAGAAAGAAGCTGACAGTAAGGAAAGCAGCCCCCCTCCTGCTCCTTCTCCTCTTCCTCCTCCTCCTCCTCCTCCTTTGGCATGCTGCAGTTCTTCTCCTCTGCTTACCAAATCCCCTCAGTGGTTCTGTCACAATAACCGGGCGGCAAGTGTCAAATCCAACTCTTCCCGCAAAAACACAAATCACTTTAACGCACACAAGATGCGCTCAGTGGAAATACTACACAAGCTGCTTTTAGCTTTCAGACATTTGGTCATAGCTCTGTTTAAGTCGTTGATTGTATTTGAGGAATAATATAAACACCATAAAAACCCCCTACTTACAGAAAATGACTCCTCGCTTTGATTTCATAGGACTTCATTTCCCTGCGCGTCTCCAGCGCGTTTAATTGGCCATATCTCTTTAAGTTGCAGACAGCATACCCCAGCTCTCCAATTAATAGTCTGCTAACGTCAAAAACAGTTGACCATTGTTTTATGGGCTTTGTGTTTTTTTTTTCTCTCTCCAGGGCGGTCAGACTTGAATAGGCGCCGGTCTGCTCCAGTCCACCTCTATACAAATACCTCAGTGGAACTTGTGTGGAGCTTCCAGAGTAAAAAGCACAGACCCCAGACGCCCCTGGCTTGCGCGTATACACACGCTGGCCATTTCATCATCTGACACTGTTTGAAATGTCTGAATCATATTTTACCCATTATGTTAACACCTCGGAGCCCTGAAACGAGCGTGTGCACAGACAGGGAGGGAGATGAATGTGCGTGGCCTCTCCTCTCCTCTCTCCTCTCTCTCTCTCTCTCTCTCTCTCTCCCCCTGTGAGTTCACAAATGAATGCCAGTTCTGTGGAGGCGCTCGGGGTGTGTGTTGCGCATTACACAGCGTAGTAAATCAGCCCTTTCTAAAATCACTGTGACGGCGTGGAGCATCAGGCAGTCCACACAAGAGCCACTGAAGCCTGGACTTACTGTGCAGTCAGTAACTCCACTCCACTCCGGAGCCCGACCGTCTACACTGCAAAAAATATCAGCCTGACATCGTCTTCTGTATTTTCATAAAACGTGGCTCAATTTCACTGGTTTCCAATTGAAGAAAACTCAATCAGAGACTCTTTCTGAAACATTTTTATGACACTTATTTATAGAAAATCCTGTAAATGAAACCCTGTTGGAAACAAGTGAAATGATGAAAGCCACCGGCAGACTTCTTCTCTTGCAGGGAAAGATTTCCAGACTGGATGAGACAACATGTTCAGATGATATTTTTTACAGTGTACACGCCCCCCTGGATATAGACACTCGTTGTAAGCAACATGGCTTGACACTAACACATGTTGAAAAGATAGGCTTTATTGCTAAAACGTGTAACCATAACATGTACACTGATATGTTTTACTTTTTTATTTATTTTTTTGTCATTTTTAGAAATATTCAAGTAGACATCTCCCATATTTTTTTCTGGTATACTCTGCTATTCTCTTTCCTTATGCTCTATACTCACAATCGTTAAAATAATAAATAAAACGTACAGATTTGTTTATTTCTACAATACTATGTATTCCAAAAAAGCTGAGTTCACGCCTTTATATATATCTTTAACCTCAACTTTTTTTTTTTTTTTACAATTTAATTATTATTGATATTAATATTATACAAAAACTCTAGGCAGCATTGCAGTGAAATAACAGTCAGCATCAATGTTCAGTTGAAAAAAAAAAAAAAAAGTTCACCTCTTGGAGAAGTGTAGCATATGCATCCCATCTTCAATGTCTCATAAAAAATATCAAAAAAAAAGCTCTTCCTTATGAAGTGCTCGTGTTCCCCCCAAAACAGCGTTTCAGGGCTGAGAATAAAATATGGTCCTGGTTCAATTAGAAAAAATAGCTGCATTTTTCTTAAATATGTACAATGTTGGTATTTCACTTAAAATGCTATATAAAAAAATAGATTTGCTATGGTGCCCACCTCTGTAGAGAGTTAACAGTGCAATAGAAACCGTATTTCCAGTCCACTCCCCCCTCGACCACCGCTACTTCCTTAGAGAAAATCAGCACGAACACTTGCACTCTGAGATGATTGGGTATTGCACCTGTATCCACGTACAGTATTTCTGTCTTAGAAACCCTTGACAATACCACCGCAGGAAAATCTTGTTGATTGACTTGACGGGCTTGCAAGACATCCCCTCAGGGAAGGAGCAAGAGCGCTCAGAGAAACAGTTTCCCTCCTTGATGTAACGTGGCCAGAACCTCACGCCCAAATCCTTCCAGGTGTACACCACTGGGCAGTGCGTATAGGTCCACAGCCACTGCAGAAATTTCCTACGGGCTTTCTTGCCCACTTTTACCCGCTTTCCATAGGGGGTCTCTGTGAGGTCCAGTTTTTTAATCTCGTTGGGCATGGGCCCCTGCAGCTTCACCTGGTTGTCTGGCGCGGAGAGGTTCACCAGCATGGGTGAGCTGATGGACATGAAGTTGGGGTCAAAGTTACTGCCGAGCTTTTTCCTCAGAGTCCTCTCGGCCAAGTCCTGCTCCCGGGGATCGTACTCCGGGTCGGGGTCCTCCTTCAGGTCGGGCACGGGGAGGTGATCACTGGGCGATGGACGGAGGCGAAGGTAATGCTGGGAAACTCCAAGGTGAACGCACACCAGCACGTAAACGAGCAGCGTTTGTGAGAGGCCCATTATTCCTGTTGTTTTACGCACCGGCTCTTCTCGCGTAAAGAATATTCAGTTCTTTTCCCGGTTACTGTGTTCTCTGCAATGCCTAGCCCGGGGCTTCATAAATAGTAGAAGTTCAGTCACCAGCAAGGCGATACTTTTAATAGACCACGTCGGGTTTGAATGACATGGAGCGGAGTGCTTTGCTTTTTAGGGCTCCTTCAACTTTGCAATTTGCCCGCTGATGCAACTCTGCAGCGCGAAGCTGTGCCCCTGCTTTGCAGAAAGTATTTAGTCTAAACCAAAAAAAGCACAAAACAAAATGGGGAAAACTCTATTCACGCTCTCTCCGGCCTCACCCCGCTCCCTTGGATTCACTTTGGGTTTCTTTCGGTTGTCATGGTTACCCCGGGGACTCGAAGCCACGACGAACTGTCTACACTGGATGACAGCGGCCGAGGCGAGAGCTGCATGGAATGAAGTGTTTTCTAAAGAGACAGAATAGATCCGGAGCGTCCTGAGAGAGAGAAGGGCGCACAAAAGAGTACCTCACCAAGTTTTAAATGTCACGCGCCCGGCAATGAGGGCTGCCTTGGCCAATGTTATTTTTACGCACGGCTTTAATAAACGTGGCTTCTCTTAACGTCGCCTGACGCTCTCAGGTTTGACAAGGTCCCAGGGCGCACAATCCATGGACTGAGGAGTAAGTCTATGCAGTCAGTCCCTTGTGGTATTCCAGCCGTCGATATGTGCACCTTACTGAAAATGTCCAAAAACTTAGAGGAAACTGCGCCGCAGTGGGATGCAATCTCAACTTATGAAATAACAGCCATTTATCTTTCCAGAGGATGATCCAGATCGCAGAGCACTTTTTTTTTCACATGAAAGTCACAGGCTGTAATATTCCCACAGAACTCTCGGCTGTGCATGTAATAAAAAAACGCTGAAAAGTGGCTTTACGGCAAATTTGCAGTGTCGGTGCAAAGCAAATGCAAACTGCAGAAAGCCAGTAAACGTTGTCAGTTCAGCGTTCCTTTCACTGTGGCATTGCTGAATCCTTTCAGAAAAGCTCCAGATCCCTCTGTCGCTGCATGACGAGACAGTCCATAATATGGAGCCTTTTTGCCCGGTTGGTGCAAGCGGTCAATTCCTGAGGGAGCGTTTCTACTCCTTTGATAACTGGTACAGAAGCTCCTACTGAGTCGCTCCTACTTCAGGAGTCTGAGAGACTTGGCGCTGGAGCGTTTCTTTGCTTAGGCACACTGTGTGTGAGTGTGTCTGTAGCGAGTGGTGCTCAGTCCCAAGTTAAATATCCCCCTCCGACGGTACAAAGTGTCAGAGGGGCCTGCCCACCCCGGCCACTTTCACTATGATTGACAGCCCCCCCACCTCCCCCACCCTGCTGCTTACCCCGGGCCACCCCCTCCCCTCACAACGTGGAAAATATCAGCCACAATCAGGAGGATCAACTGGGTCCTAAAGCACCAGTTTTATCCCGTATTATAGTGTAATATTCCACAACATGAACAACGTTATGCATATTACAGAATTTATGAAATCCAACCCGCGCTCTAAGCGCCATGGCAACACTTTTCAGAGTCTGTGCTTTTCATCACGGACTGTCTGAGATGCACTAATAGGTTCAATACGCTGTCAATATTCAGCTGAAGCGTTTAAGAGTTTCCTTGGCATGAACTTTCCCATGAAATTGATGGGAAACGTTTAGTAGCTTGTCCACGGAAAAGGGGCATCACATTCCACCTTTGTTCGTCAGGATTTGGGTCCACACAGGAATTGGCCCGTTGAACTCAGGGGTCACAAAATAGGCGCGTAATTAAGGGCTATAAATGGCCATGGATAACTAAGCGGTACCTTTCCCATGCTAAGCAGTCATTAGGCCATGCAGGACTTTTTACTTTTACTTGAACTATGTTGGTCCTCCTATAATGCGACTTAAAAGCATTCAGTTTATTTTATTGACTATCAGGTTAATGTATTTAAACATGTTGTTCAGCCATAAGAACACATGTTAAGTTTATTCAAATGTAGTCTTTTTTAAATTTTTTTTATTTTATTCTAATGCATAAGAAACGGTGGTGAAGTCGATTCAGTCGATCAAACAGCAATCAACTACATTAAACCTAATTTAATAATTAAAGAAATCATTCATACAAAAAGTTTTACTCATGATTTCATAAAAAAATGAGTCATAAAAGGTGGTTAATACGTGTTAATCCTCTGAATTTGATCCGGGTTCTAGATTGTTTGTATTTATCCTCCTCACTTTGGATAGGCTGACAGTGGTTATTGGGTATTTCGACCTGTCATTATATGCTTGTCTTTTGTAGTGGTCACTAGAGGGCGTCGATCCAGCACGGTGTGGACCTGCAGCCAGGGCCTCCCCAGACTCTCTCCCTCACTGTTTGACTACTCATGTTTGAGTGCATGTGGAAGGAATGTGCGCTCATAGTTCTGGTGCAGCTCAAGAGAAATTGCTCACCAGTATTTCGATCAAAGATCTTAAAAAACCAACGTTGGGGCACTTATGCCAAAATAAAGTAATAAACCTGAATCATGCTCACTATGAGTATGATATCAAAAAACTCTCCTGTTGAAGGATGGAAGAACTTTTATCACAAGTGCTCCAATTTGAGTGTCTGCCATGATTAAGAGACTTCATTAACCAAGCTTAACTGCATTAACCACATGCAAAGAGTCTTTTACATCCTATGAGTAAATTCCCACCAACCCCTCCGACATGCATGCAGACACACAAAGTCATAATCTGGTTAATGATTAGGGTGCCAGCGCAGACAGAGCTCAGTGGGCAGCGGGGACAGTAAGGCTGAGCTGGCTACTGTAGAACTGGCCCTTTCCATTGTCTTCTTCCATGGGTCTTGGGGTGGTGGACTGAGAGAGAAAACCCCCATGCAGGGAGAGACACTTCCCTTCCTCCTTGTCTCAAGCACTAATACTGTCGAGCAACCCAGCAATGAGTCCACCCCCATCCCCTGGCTAATTACAAGAGATAAAGACAAGAAGAGGGGACCGGTGAGCACAGTGGGGAGGGATAGTGGTGGTGATGATGTTGAGTCGGTGGGGGTGAGGGCAGTGGAGGTGGCGATGAAGATGGTGGTGGTTTCAGCAAACAGAGGAGGATGGGGGGGGGTGTTGCAGCGGTAGTGGTGGTGCCGGATGGCAGTTTGCTGTGGAATGGCTAATTAAATAAAGCCATAAAAGGAGCACGGCTCGTTTTAACGAAGCCCGTCAACCTCTGACAAGTGGGGCTGGGATGGGGGTGGGATGCACCATGGAGGAGAGAGGTGGGGCTGGTGCTGAAAACTGGGCTTGTATAACAAGGGGACTTAGCTCTTTGGTTTTGCAGTGATTGTTCACGCTCCCTTAGGTCTGAATAGGGCGCATGGTGAGGGTGCATTGGGGGGCAGCCCTTAGGCACAAATAGGACCCCCTTCTCCGTCTCTGCTGTGAATGCTATACACACATACACGTACACACGTAACACATACACAAACACATACACACACTAACACCCCCACGGCTCTATACAAAGGCCTGTACCCAAGGTCCAGGTAGGAGCTTATCCAGTGCAGGGCCACAGCAAGGGGCAGGTCTGGCCAGACTGGCTGACTGTGCCCACTGGGGACTGGTAGAATGGCACAGGGGGGTGGATGGAGACGGACAGCTCTGAGAGGAGAGAGGGGAGTAGACGGGAGAGACTGAGAGAACAAGACAAAAAACATCACCAAGCAGAGCTGGAGCAACAAAATCAACATTGTTTTTTTGCATCACATATCGTTTTCTTGCACCATTAAATGAGCTAATGTCAGGAGATAAGGAAAGTTAAGGAATTTGGCAATGTGCTGTGGCCATTTGGAAATAGTCTGGAGTGGCAGAGATAGTGCAACTCTGAAATCCCCAAGCCTTCCTCCCTTCAAATCAACAGATATGCCTGGAGCACGTCTCCTAATTAGTTTTGTGTTGTGGCGTCTCCACCAGAACACTCTCTGTTGGGTCTTTGGCAGTACGACAGATTTCAGAACCAACCAGAGCTTTAACTGGTTTCTTGTAGTAGTCAAAACTGCAGAAATATTTTGAAGTGTTTTTAACTAAATATGTCCAAGAACTGGAAACTGGAACCACAGTTTGTTTCTGTTGTAAAATCCAGTATGTACTTCAATATTTTTGTTGTAATAGCTCTATGAACAAGTACAACTTATTATGTCTTTGGACTGGCAAGATAGATATCTCTTGTTTTGCATACACATACACCTCATGCCACAACAATTCAAAACAGAAAAGTTTGCAAAGCAAATAAATAGCTTTCCACCGTTGCCTGTCAATATTACATTCCCTCTATTCCCTGCTGCCCTCGCCATCTTCTCCAGTCTTACTCCCCTCTTCTCTCTCCCCCATATTCGACTCTGTCTCCGAGCCTTAACCCAAAGCAGATGGCTCGGGAAGCATGTCAAAAATCTGTCTCCCGTTAACACTACTTTTGAAGCCCCCTCTACATTTTTTTCTCTCCCCTAAAATTCATCATAAAGTTATTTTTGCAAAATACCCAGTAAACAGCATCAAAGTGATATTTTCCCCCTCTCCACTGATGACAAGGAGAAGAAAAGAAAACGGCACTAAGTGTATAGCTTGTCCTTGTTATTGAAAGAATGCCACACCACGCTGATGTGCAATCTGAAGTCAATCTGAGTATGGCCCTGCATCCTTTGTTTCTACTACGGCATTCCAGCCGTGATGGAGAAAATGCTGCTCGATGCTTGATCACAAGCTGTGATTAATGGTGATCATATCGTAGACGGCTCAGTGGCTTTGTGATGTGATGGCAGGCCCCACTTTGAACTCAAAGGCTGATGAATTCAAGCGCAGCCAGAAAAACATCACTGTGGCACACACACTCAATGAATATAAATGTTTTGCTTTAGATTTTGTACGTGTTCAGTCACTCATTACTGGGGTTGTACAATACTTGATTTTGCCTCTTAAGAAAATCCTGTATAGTTGAGCACATGCAAAGCCAGAGGCCGAAAGATTCTAAAAATACTCTGCTGAAGTACAAGGATTGCTACTTGACTATGGTATATTATCTGGTATATTACAACTTATCTTTGTAGTTTTGACAGTTATTCCTACAGGTAATAATGATGTTACTGTTCTCATTAAGTTAACTGCTAAAATCTGAGCTTGCAGTGAAAGGAAATCACAGAGGGCCAGAAAAACTGGCAGTCAGACTATCATGTTGATTATAAACCAACCTCCAGGTTAGCTAAACTTAT